ATGTAAAACTTGTGATGGCCCAAATCCAAATAATTGCTTATCTTGCGTAATTGGATTGTATTATAACTAAGCCACAAAATAATGTATTTGTGATCCAACCTGTAAAACTTGTGATGGCCCAAATCCAAATAATTGCTTATCTTGCAGTCCTGGATTGCATTATAATTAAGCCACAAAATCATGTATTTGTGATCCAACCTGTAAAACTTGTGATGGTCCAAACTCAAATAGCTGTTTATCCTGCAATCCTGGATTGTATTATAATTAAGCCACAAAATCATGTATCTGCGATTCAACTTGTAAAACTTGTGATGGCCCAAATTCAAATAGTTGTTTATCTTGTATCTCTGGATTATACTATTAGTAAACTGCAAAACAATGTGTAAAATCCTGTAATGAAAACTAATTTTAAAATTAGTTATTATAGCTATGTTAGGCATGTGATAATACTTGTGCAAGTTGTGATGGAAATAGCTCAAATAATTGTTTAAGTTGTTATCCCAACAGCTTTCTCTACAACAAAAATTGTGTTAGCCTTTGTCCAAATGGGTTTTAAAGTAATTTTACTGCTCTCACATGCGATTCATGCTAAAATTATTGGAGCCCATAATGCAATCCTTGCTATGCCAACTGTAAACAATGTGATTAGTCATAAATTTAAAATGAATAATGCCAGACTTGCTATAATGAAACAAGATAAATAGATGTTTCAAGTAAAAGATGCATTTGCAAAAACTAAAATGATTAAAGGAAAATATTTTATTAATGCAGCTATGAAAATATTGCTGTTATTGATGCAAAATTAAGTGCTACATCTCCATAACTTAGTATTGATTTTGGATCTCCATTGATGAATATCATATCAAATACACCTTAGTCTTTATGCTCATAAATATTTGACTAAGCAACATTAGGCATACTCGGGTTAGATTCTTAATGCAAAATCAATATGAATTAAATTTTGGTTAATTTAAGTAACTTAATTTTATTAAATATTCTATAATTCAACTCTTTAAATTTATAATACTTTCATTTTTAAAATATTTTATTTTAATAAATAGGTGACTCATCGACAATCATAGAGAATAATTCAATTAATTTTTTGCCAAATAAACTGCAGTTTATAGATTATACGGATACATTTATTAACACATTTTATAGAAACGTTACTTTCTAAGATTTCCCTGGAGTTTCTTAACTTTAATTTAGCTATAATCACATAGAAAACAGCTGTAATCCTATAAATATAACTCTTTATAGTATTCAAAACGATGCAGGAAGAAAATTTATGAGTCTTAATTGGACTTTAAATCAAATTGTAGGCTCCATAAGCAGCGAGTAGTAAGAAAGTATACAAGAAATATTATTAAAAGCAAGCTAAAACAAAAACACTAGTTTGATTATAGGCCCTAAATTCTTACCACCAAATATTAACATAACAATATAATTTAGTTATTTACTTAAGGTTAACTAAGCTGGTACTTAAATGTTCACAATTATTTATCAAAAATAAAAATTTATAAGAGTCAACTATTAGCAATCTTTGTACCCACCAATTTATAGGTTAATTTTTCTTTATAATGAATTAATTATTTTTATAAATTAATCTTAAAATAATAAATAAATAGATCTATGAGCTTGACTTTCTACTTTTAATTTTACATAGAGACATGCGAGTTAGGCCAAATAACTTCTTTTAATGAGCCTATTGATTTACAACTAGTTTCTAACCAGCTTTAAAAGTAAAGCCTAAGTCAATACAATTAATCAAGCTTTCAATATGACATTCTCCCTTACTCCTTAGCATCTAACTAAACCTTTTAATATGA